TGGGTTATTTATAAGTATTTTATTTAATTTTTAAATATTGATAGGGTTATCCAGATATCTTTCCTATATTAATTTCTATTTTAATTCTGTTGCTATCAGAGGATACACTATGTATAATTTTATCTTCTTAAATTTATTGAGACTTATTTTATGGTTCAGCATGTGATTTATCTTGGTGAATGTCCTGTATGCATATGAGAAGAATGTATATTCTGTTATTTTTTAGTGTGTTGTGCTATAAATGCCAATTAGGTAAGGTTGGTTGATAATGCTATGTAAATTTTATTTTTTTTGTATGCATGTTCTATGATTCATTGAGAAGGGAGTTGAAATCTTCACCTGTAGGTATGGCTTTGTCTTTCTCCTTTGAATTCTGTTAGTTTTAGCTTCATGTATTTTGAAGTGTTATTATTAGCCACATATAAGATTTTTATGTATTTTTGATTAATTGACCTTTTTATCATTATGAAATGTCCTTTGTCTCTAATAATATCACTTGTCTTAAAGCCTGATCATAATCTTTGTCTGATAGTAATATAGCTATTCCAGCTTTTATATGTTTAGTGTTTACTTGGCATATTCTTTTCCAACCTTCTACTTTTAGCCTATCTTTGTCTTTATAATTTAAAGTGGTTTTCTTGCAGTCAGCATATAGTTGGGTCTTGCTTTTATACAATCTGAAAATCTACCTTTAAATATATGTTTAGACTATTTAATAATGTAATTATTGATATAGTTAGGTTAAAGGCTGCTATCTTACTATTTATTTTCTATTTATTTCACTTTCCTTTGTTCCTTCTTCATTTCTCATGTAATTTTGAATTAATGTAGTTATTTTTAGTATTCCATTTTATTCCTAGTATTTGTTTATTAGCTATATTTTTTATTCTTTTACTGGTTGTTCTGTGGTTTACAAAATGTATATAACTTATTACAGTGTATATTCATCTAATATGCTATTTCATGTATAATGTCATCCTTATGACAGCATTCATTTTCTCCATGTTGACTTTATGTGTTTTTTACATATATTTTGCTTCTACACGAATTATATACCTGACAATATATTGTTGCTTTATTTTTTTTCTATTTTTTTCTTTTTTTTAATAAATTAATTTTTTTTATTGGTGTTCAATTTACCAACATACAGAATAACACCCAGTGCTCATCCCGTCAAGTGTCCCCCTCAGTGCCCATCACCCAGTCACCCCCACCCCCTGCCCTCCTCCCCTTCCACCACCCCTAGTTCATTTCCCAGAGTTAGGAGTCTTTATGTTCTGTCTCCCTTTCTGATATTTCCCACACATTTCTTCTCCCTTCCCTTATATTCCCTTTCACTATTATTTATATTCCCCAAATGAATGAGAACATACACTGTTTGTCCTTCTCTGATTGACTTACTTCACTCAGCATAATACCCTCCAGTTCCATCCACGTTGAAGCAAATGGTGGGTATTTGTCGTTTCTAATGGCTGAGTAATATTCCATTGTATACATAAACCACATCTTCTTTATCCATTCACCTTTCGATGGACACCGAGGCTCCTTCCACAGTTTGACTATTGTGGACATGGCTGCTAGAAACATCGGGGTGCAGGTGTCCCAGCGTTTCATTGCATCTGAATCTTTGGGGTAAATCCCCAACAGTGCAATTGCTGGGTCGTAGGGCAGGTCTATTTTTAACTCTTTGAGGAACCTCCACACAGTTTTCCAGAGTGGCTGCACCAGTTCACATTCCCACCAACAGTGTAAGAGGGTTCCCTTTTCTCTGCATCCTCTCCAACATTTGTGGTTTCCTGCCTTGTTAATTTTCCCCATTCTCACTGGTGTGAGGTGGTATCTCATTGTGGTTTTGATTTGTATTTCCCTGATGGCAAGTGATGCAGAGCATTTTCTCATGTGCATGTTGGCCATGTCTGTGTCTTCCTCTGTGAGATTTCTCTTCATGTCTTTTGCCCATTTCATGATTGGATTGTTTGTTTCTTTGCTGTTGAGTTTAATAAGTTCTTTATAGATTTTGGAAACTATCTCATTAGATGCAGAGAAAGCATTTGACAAAATACAGCATCCATTCCTGATCAAAACTCTTCAGAGTGTAGGGATAGAGGGAACTTTCCTCGACATCTTAAAAGCCATCTACGAAAAGCCCACAGCAAATATCATTCTCAATGGGGAAGCACTGGGAGCCTTTCCCCTAAGATCAGGAACAAGACAGGGATGTCCACTCTCACCACTGCTATTCAACACAGTATTGGAAGTCCTAGCCTCAGCAATCAGACAACATAAAGACATTAAAGGTATTCAAATTAGCAAAGAAGAAGTCAAACTCTCCCTCTTCGCCGATGACATGATACTCTACATAGAAAACCCAAAAGCCTCCACCCCAAGATTGCTAGAACTCATACAGCAATTTGGTAGTGTGGCAGGATACAAAATCAATGCCCAGAAATCAATGGCATTTCTATACACTAACAATGAGACTGAAGAAAGAGAAATTAAGGAGTCAATCCCATTTACAATTGCACCCAAAAGCATAAGATACCTAGGAATAAACCTAACCAAAGAGGTAAAGGATCTATACCCTAAAAACTATAGAACACTTCTGAAAGAAATTGAGGAAGACACAAAGAGATGGAAAAATATTCCATGCTCATGGATTGGCAGACTTAATATTGTGAAAATGTCAATGTTACCCAGGGCAATTTACACATTTAATGCAATCCCTATTAAAATACCATGGACTTTCTTCAGAGAGTTAGAACAAATTATTTTAAGATTTGTGTGGAATCAGAAAAGACCCCGAATAGCCAGGGGAATTTTAAAAAAGAAAACCATAGCTGGGGGCATCACAATGCCAGATTTCAGGTTGTACTACAAAGCTCTGGTCATCAAGACAGTGTGGTACTGGCACAAAAACAGACACATAGGTCAATGGAACAGAATAGAGAACCCAGAAGTGGACCCTGAACTTTATGGTCAACTAATATTCGATAAAGGAGGAAAGACTATCCACTGGAAGAAAGACAGTCTCTTCAATAAATGGTGCTGGGAAAATTGGACATCCACATGCAGAAGAATGAAACTAGACCACTCTCTTTCACCATACCAAAGATAAACCCAAAATGAATGAAAGATCTAAATGTGAGACAAGATTCCATCAAAATCCTAGAGGAGAACACAGGCAACACCCTTTTTGAACTTGGCCACAGTAACTTCTTGCAAGATACATCCACGAAGGCAAAAGAAACAAAAGCAAAAATGAACTATTGGGACTTCATCAAGATAAGAAGCTTTTGCACAGCAAAGGATACAGTCAACAAGACTAAAAGACAACCTACAGAATGGGAGAAGATATTTGCAAATGACATAACAGATAAAGGGCTAGTTTCCAAAATATATTGTTGCTTTAAATAGTCAATTCTCAGGACACCTCGGTGGCTCAGTGGTTGCGCATCCGCCTTCGGCTCAGATCCTGATCCGGGGTCTGGGGATTGAGTCCCACATCAGGCTCTCTGCCAGGGCCTGCCTCTTCCTCTCCCTATGTCGCTGCCTCTCTCTGCGTCTCTCATGAATGAATACATAAAATCTTAAAAAAATAGTCAATTCTCTTTTTTAAAAGACTTTATTATTTATTTATTTATTTATTTATTTATTTATTTATTTATTTATTTATTTATTATTTTTCGATGTATTTGATACCGCGAGAGAGAGCACATGAGTTGGGGGCAGGGAGCAGAAGGAGGAGAAGTAGATTCCTCACTGAGCATGGGACCTACCGAGGGGCTAGATCCCAGGACCTTGAGATCATGAGCTGAGCTGAGGGCAGATGCTTAATTGACTAAGCCATCCAGGTACCCCAATATTCAATTGTCTTTTGAATAAATTTTTAAAAATAAGAAAAACTGACTTTTTCAAGTCCCAACATATTACCCTTGCTTACACATTCATTTGTGTAGATCCCAGTTTCCTTCTCATATTATTTTCCTTCAACCCAAATGATTTTCTTTCTTTATTTTACTTTAGAGCAAATCTGCTAGTTTCAAATTTTTTCAGCTTTTGTTTGTCTGAAAATGTCTTTATTTCATTTCTTCTCTTGCAAGATATTTTGGCTGACATATTTTCTTTCAGCACATTAAAGATGGCACTCAATAGTCTTCTTGCTTGCAATGTTTCTTGTTAAAAATTGGCAAATATTCTTATCTTTGTTCTCCTCTATGCAATGTCTACACTTCCTCCGCTTGCTTTTAAGGTTTTGTCCTTATTACTGGATTATAATAATTTAATTATGATTTTTTCCTGTGGGTTCCTTCCTGTTATATTGGAATTTGATGACCTTGTTGCATCTGTATTTTTGGTTTTCATCAAATTTGGAAAATTTTCAGCAAATTTCTTGAGATTTTTCTGCTTCCTTTTTTATGTGTGTCTAATTATGTGGATTTTATTTTATTAATTTTTTAACTTGGAATTTTAACTATGTAAATAAATAACAACATGAGAACAAGGAGTTCTGAGGCTAGCCATTATCTCTAGATGAGAGGATTTCAGATTAGTCTACTTATAGTATGGCATCACCCAAAGCAACAAAGAAGCCTAGAATAGTTTTTCCTGAAGAAGAAAACCAATATTTTAAATTCAGTATGGACTTGTGCCATTTTTCTATAGAATGTTTACAATATGGAGTTTCCAGTGTTTACCTATAACATTAAAGTGGCAAAGCACCTGGGTGGCTCAGTGGTTGAGTGTCTGCCTTCAGCTCAGGGCATGATCCCAGGGTCCTGCGATGAGCCCTGCATGAGGCTCCCTGCTGGAAGCCTGCTTCTCCCTCTGCCTATGTCTCTGCCTTGCCCTCTGTATCTCTCATGAATAAATAAATAAAATCTTTAGAAATAGAATAAAATAAAATGGACAGAGCATGGAACATTCTCCTTATTTCTGGGTGAATGCTTCACATTTCCTGGCTTTTGAAAATTGTCCTACATATCTTCTATGACTATATATCCTCATGAACCACAGGCATATAATTTCTTCCCACTGACCTGGACAAATATGATGGCTTGTTGTGGATAATAAAGAGAGGCAGGTAATCCCATGAACCCAGATGGATACACCAGCTTCTTTGTTTTTGAACCTCTTAGCCAAAAGAAGTCCAACAATGCCAGCAAAACCAACACTAGCTCTTGGAAAAAAAATCCAAGAGGTGCATTTTGGAGATATTCATTGTTATCTAACCCCCACTGAACCAAGCTCTGCATCTTAGGCTTAGTTTGTGGGTGTATTTCTGGACAGCAACTTGTATATGGCTCACAGTAATGTTGAAGATGTGAGATGCTTTCAAGTTGGGTCTTTGGCTTCTCTACATATTTAGATTGACCCTCGGGAATGGAGTACAGTGAAAACTTACTAACCTTGATGAAAGTTTTGTGAGGTGAGTCCTTTTTAGGTGATGTGTAGACTTGGAAGGCGAGCAGAATCAGACTACCTGGCCCCATAGACCTCTGAATTACTTTGAACATATTGCTGGCACAGGTCACTTCTGCCTAATTACAGGGATTTTAGACCATTTGATATTGTCATAAAGATCATTGAGACTGTGACTTTTATTCTCTAGGAATTATTCTTAGCATTTTATTGCTGTGCACTTTGGATTTGGTAATTTTTAAAAAAGATTTTATTTATTTGACACAGAAAGAGAGAGAGTGAGAACAAGCAGGGGAGTGGGAGAGGGTAGGCTCCCTCCTGGGCAGGGAGCCAGATGCGGGGCTTGATCCTAGGACCCTAGGATCATAACCTGAGTTGAAGGCAGACAGTTACCTGAGCCACCCAGGTGCCCCAGATTTTATGATTTCTAAAGCTATGTTTTCAAATGTAATGATCTTTTTTTCTATGCTGTCTAATCTGTCTACTGAATTTTTATTTCAGATAATGTTCTTCAGTTTTTGAAGTTCAATAATAGTTTCTGTTCCTTTCCTCATTGTGCTCCTATATTTCTTTAACATCTTAAGCATATCTATAATAGCTATTTTAAGGTTCTTGATTACTAAGCCCATCATCTATGATATTTATGGGCCTGCTTCTATTGACTGATTTTACTTCTGGCTATGGTTTACAGTTTGCTGTTTCTTCATCTGTCTTGAGTGTCTGGATTTTGTCTTGAGTGTTTTCTTTAACAATTTTTTGCTTTGACAGGTAGTTAATTTACTTGCAGTGCAACCTAAACCTCTGTGGATCTGAAGAAACCTTTACTGTAGAACTATTTCTGAGGCATGACTTTAGTTAGCCCTGTTTCTAATGCATGACTCTTCTCTACTGAATCGTTCTATTGAATGCCCCAGGTATTCAACAACTCTCTCTGCTTGGCTTATGGGAATTTGAATGTCTCCCTGCTCTGCTTGAGCTCTGGAAATCATTTAGCTTTCCCAAGTGCTTTGTTTAGCATTACAAAGTTTTACCTTGGACATAATGCAATTTTGTATTCAAACAAGAACACAAGGAGGCCCCTCTTCAGTTTTTGGAGCTATTTTTCCATATAGCTCCCTTCTCTCTGGTACTGTCTTTTGCCAGTCCAGCTATCTCAGCCTCACAGTGCTTAGCTTTTATTCTTTCTTCTTCTAAAAAATGGTCTGTTGACTTTAAGCAGAAAATGAAGCAATGGTAGAAGTCATTTCGTGTGTTTCTTTTCTCTTAGGAGTCACAATATTGCCTGTTTTTAAATGTCTAAAAACAAGTTTTTCTCTAATATTTTGTCCAGTTTTCTGATTGCCATAGGAAGTCATGTAGCTTGCTGAAAGCACAAATTAGGAGCAGAGTTTTCCTTCAGCTATTCTGGCCTTTTATTCAGTCCTTCAAAAGGAAAAACGATCAAGTTAATATTTGCCTTAAAACCATTACACTTGTTCTTTCTGCTTAGAAAAGTCTTCCCTTGCATCTCTACAAGCTGCCTCCTTCTCATTTCTTATTTTCCAAAAGAAGCTTTTCTTGAGCACACTATTTATTTAATTTTATTTAAATTTAGTTTGCCAACATATAGTATAACACACAGTGCTCATCTTGCTCATCTTATCATATACCTTCCTTAATGCCTGTCAGCCAGTTGCCCTATCCCTCTACCCACCTCCTCTTCTGTAACCCTTTGTTTCCCAGAGTTAAGAGTCCCTCATGGTTTATCTTCCTATTTTTTCCCCACTCAGTTTCCCCCACTTCCCTCTCTATTTCTTATATTCTACATATAAGCGAAACCATAAGATAATTGTCTTTCTGTACCTGATTTATTTCATTCAGCATAATACCCTCCAGTTCCATCTATGTCAATGTAAATGGTAGGTATTCATCCTTTTTTATGGCTAAGTAATATTTCACTGTATATACAACCACATCTTCTTTATCCATTCATCTATTGAAAGATATCTCACCTCCTTCCACAGTTTGACTATTGTGGAGTTGATGCTATGAACATGGAGGTGCAGGTCTTCTATTGTTTCACTGCATCAGTATCTTTGGGGTAAATACCCAGTAGTGCAACTGCTGGGTCATAGGGTAGCTCTATTTTTAATTTCTTGAGGAACCTCCACACTGTTTTCCAGAGTGGCTGCACCAGCTTGCATTACCACCAACAGTGCAAGATGATTCCCCTTTCTCCACATGCTTGCCAACATGTGTTGTTTTTTGTCTTGTTAATTTTAGCCTTCATACTGGTGTAAAGTGGTATCTGTGGTTTTGATTTGTATGATTTGTATTTCCCTGATGATAAGTGATGTGAAGCATTTTTTCATGTGCTTGTTGGCCATGTGTAGGTCTTCTTTGGAGAAATGTCTTTTCCAGCCTTTTGCCCATTTCTTGATTGGATTGCTTGTTTTTTGGGTGTTGAGTTTGAGTTTCTAAGTTCTCTAGATCTTGGATACTAGCCCTCTATCTGATATATCATTTGCAAATATCTTCTCCCATTCTGTAGGTTGCCTTTTAGTTTTGTTGACTGTTTCCTTTGCTGTGCAGAAGCTTTTTATCTTGATGAAGTCCCAATAGTTCATTATTGTCTTTGTTTCCCTTGCCTTTGGAGATGTGTCTAGCAAGAATTTGCTGTGGCCAAGGTCAAAGAAGTTGCTGCCTGTATTCTCCTCTAGGATTTTGATTGATTCTTGTCTCACATTTAGATCTTTCAACCATTTTATCTTTGTGTATGGTATAAAAGAATGGTCCAGTTTCATTTTTCTGGATGTGGCTGTCCAACTTTCCCAACACTATATATTGAAGAGACTATCTTTTTTCCATGGATATTCTTTCCTGCTTTGTTGAAGATTAGTTGACCATAGAGTCGAGGGCCCTTTTCTGGGTTCTCTATTCTGTTCCTTTGATATATGTGTTTGTTTTTGTGCCAGTACCATATTGTCTAGATGATTACAGTTTTGTAATACAGCTTAAAGTCAAGCATTGTGATGCCCCCTGCATTGGTTTTCTTTTTCAACATTCCTCTGGCTATTCAGGGTCTTTTCTGATTCCACACAAATCTTGGGATTATTTGTTCCAACTCTATGAAGAAAGTCCATGATATTTTGATAGGGATTGCATTAAATATGTAAATTGCTCTAGGTAGCATAGACATTGTAACAATATTTATTCTTTGAATTCATGAACATGGAATGTTTTTACATCTCTTTGTGTCTTCCTCAATTTCATTCATAAGTTCTGCAGTTTTTACTGTAGTTTTTAGAATATAGATCCTTTACCTCTTTTTTAGGTGTATTCCTAAGAATCTTATGGTTTTGAGTGGAATTGTAAATGGGATTGATTTCCTTAATTTCTCTTTCTTCAGTCTCGTTAGTGAATAGAAATGCAACTGATTTCTGTGCATTGATTTTATATCCTGCCACATTGTTCAATTGCTGTATGAATTCTAGCAATTTTGGTGTGGAGTCTTTGGGTTCTTTATATACAGTTTCATGTCATCTGCAAAGAGGGAGAGTTTGACTTCTTCTTTGCCAAATTGAATGCCTTTTATTTCTTTTTGTTGTCTTATTAGTGAAGCTAGGACTTCTAGTACTATGTTGAACAACAGTGGTGAAAGTGGGCATTCCTGTCATGTTCTTGGCCTTAGGGAAAAACCTCTCAGTTTTCCCCCATTGAGAATGAGATTTGCTGTGGGCTTTTCATAGATTTGACCACACTATTTAAAAACATGATTTATCATTTTAATTCTTCCCTCTTTTCTTTCATCCAATCTATCACAGTCTATAATTATCTTTAAAATTTTTTACATGTATATTATCGCTTCTCCCTTGGTATGTAAATTGCACAAGGAAAGAAACTTGCACTCCCATATTCCTTAGCCACTTGAATTATACTTGGCCCACAGGTAGGAACCATGACACATTTCCTAAATGTAAGTATGAATAAAGATAGCATCTAGCCATATATTCTGAAATTGTAAGGTAGGGAGATGCTAAGCAACATAGCAGTGAAGACCTACACATTAGAGTAGGTTATGCCTATGTATTCCTGTAGAATCTTAATTGTCGTGCACAGAAAAGATAATTATTTTCACAAGAAAAAAATGTGACTTTAAATTTTAGATATTTAGCTCTATTTGATATTGGTCTCTACTACTCTATATGCAACCTAAATGTGCTGTACTCTTATTAGCTGCCTGTCAATCTTACTTGTCATGCACAGTAAAGTTAATTTCTTTCTTTAATTTTTAATTGTTCCCAGAGCTTTGTTATTATGATTATGTTTGTGGACTGTTCTTCATCATCAAGTATTGGTGGCTTTCAGTGTGTCATGTAGCATCATGAATATATTTTGATATAAACTAAAAGATTTAATTTTTAAAAGTTATACCTCATGATAATGTCACTTTAATCATAAACCTTCTTCAATTCATCTGTGCTATATTGTCATAATTCAGTATAAAGCTACAAACTTAAGCAATAATTTATTCAGATTAACCAAGGATATAATTTATAGTATATACAATTTTTTAGATATTTTTCAAAATATCTAGAGAGTATGACTTCTCTGCCTAGATGATAACAGCCCAGCATAAATATTTAAAGGCATAAAAAAATTACTGTGATGTGGTTAGAGGCAGGAATTTGTTTATTTAATGTGCTTTGTACATAATTTTTCAGATATGAAAGAGAAGGATCAGCTTTAATCCTTTCAATGTTTCCTGAACATTATGACTTTTAGGCTTGTGAATACTGCCAAGGTGATAATGGATTCTACTAGCAGCTTTTACGTGTAGGTGGGAGTGGCTTTCAAGGTCTCAGGTAACCATGGTTCAAGAGTAACTTATGTTTCAGTCTCTAATTTTCTTGGCTCCACTTAGCTTTTTCCTTCATTGAGAATACTTGCTCTTAGGCCCACTTTTCCTAGAGTCCTAAAGATGTCCGATGATAAATTGGAAGCCTCATCCTCACAAGTAAGTGAAATACGGAAATAACTTTGTTGTATTAAGTACGGTATCTAGTGTTTTAGCTTTTTGCTTGTTCAAAATACCATGCATATCCATCAGTCTTCT